GCTCGCGCGAGGCCCGACGCGTGGCGCTGCCCGTCAGCCGGGGCGGGATGTCCCGCGGCGTTTCCGCTTCTGTAGAGCGTCGGTTCCTCTCTCTCTCGTTCACGACCTGGGAAGCTTTCTGGTCCCTCGAGCGCTGGCGTTTAGAAGGAAAACAGACTTAGCAGCGAGGCGTTTCGTGACTCCATAAGTGGGGGCCAGGTCGGCGGCCGCCGCCAAAGGCGTCCACCCGAGGCCGGGGCGCGGGCTCCCCGCTGCATGCGGCCCGCACTGCATGCGGCCCACCCTTGCTGGAGCGGGGCCCCCCACGTCCTGTGTCGCGGTTCAGAGAGATTCCGGCGGGGAGAGCGTTGCTCTGAAGCGTCTGGAAAGGAAGCCTCAGGCACGGTGTAAATCGCATCCCGGGCTCGGTGGCTGGACCCCGGGCCCCTCCCAGGTCCCAAGAGGCCTGTCTGCAGGGCGAGGGCACGTGGGCCCCACCCCACACCCCTCGCTGCTGGGGGACGCCCACGGTCCTGGGGTGGTGGACGGGCTCCGACCCCGCACACTCCTCCGGGTCCCGAGTGCCCAGCGGGAGCCAGGGCTGCAGCTGCCCTCGGCGAGAATCTCATCAGCCAGTGGGGTGGTTGAGCCCGTTAGGGTGATGTCGTCGGCACCGTATTCTAACCGGCCACACAGTCGTCAGATGTTCCCGACACAGACGGTGGGACCGGCCTTGTCCCCAAGTGAGCTCTGTGCTGGATGATGTCTGTCACTGAGCTTAGGGTCGGCCGGGAGCTTGCATTGCATTCGGCCCTAAACGAGCTGCATAATAACTTTCGCATTTAAACCCAAAGTATCTGCTGGGACAGGGGGACAAAACAGAAAAGAGGGGCGAGGAGGTGTTTTTCACGGTGGCGTTTTATTACTGACAGGTCACTAGCTGCCTTTACGCCACTTACAAATCAGAAAAACGCTCCGCGTGAGCTTCCCATTCGCTGCGAGGCGGGCAGTTCACGCGGGTAAGAACCCGCAGCGAAGTGTATTGGGCGGGGGGTGGTGCGAGGCCAGATTATGTGGGGGCCTCTGGAGCAGGGGGCTGTGATGGCGAGAGAAATGTGCACACAAGATGTCTCGTGCACACGTGTGTGTGTGCATGTGTATGTGTGTGCTTGCGTGTGCGTGCCTGGGCACGTCTGCATGTGCGTTGTATGTACATCGCTTGCACGCATGTGTACTTGTGTGTATTGTGCACACGCATGTGTGCACGTGCACAGATGCATTTGTGCCCCATGTGTGCACACATGTCTGCATATACGCAGTGTGTACATGTCACATGCATTCATGTGCTTAGATGTGTGTATATGTATGTCTGCATGTGTAGATGCTTTGCGTGTACCTTGTGTGTGTGCCCGTGTGTCTTTGCACATATGCGTGTCTGTGTGCGTGCGCACCTATGTGTGTGTGCGCGCACACAAATGCACGCATGTGTGTACATGTCTGTGCACACGTGTTTGTGCGCGTGTGCCCCGCGTACTTGAACATCTGTACGAGAGCTGACAGTGACGTCTCCGGTGACAGTGCCCCAGCTGCAGGGCCGTGGCCGCGAGGGAGCCGCCTCAGCTTCAGGCTCAGTGCTCGGCTTTGTTGGGCCTGCGGTTCTTGATCTGGTGACTTACGAGAGTCCCCCGGGACTTAAAGGGTGGCCCATGTAGGCCCCACACACACAGTTCAGCAAGGGCGTCTGGATTTCTAGGGGCGAGGCCGGGGCGTCTGCGTTGCTGAGAGCCACTCGGGTGACTCCGTGCGCTCTGAGAGCTGAAACCCAGTCCCGCTTTACAGACGGAAGGGTCAGAGCCAGCGGCTCAGGCGGCAATCTCAGGGTCACGTCGCAATTCAGAGACAGCGCAGGCCGAGACCAGGCTCGCACTCTGACCGCCCCGGCCGCGTGCTTGTCCCCTGCTCTTGCTGCCCTGCCTTCTCCTGGATGGACTCATTTCTTCGAGTTTTGTGGAGACCCGATGGACACACCCATCGCATCTGTCCAAGGGGACGAGGTGATGTGACTTACGTACGTCTTGTGAAGCGATCGCCAGTCTGTTCGTTAGCGTCTGTCACCGCACAGCGACAGGTTTTCTCGTGGAGAACTTTAAGATCTGCACGCTTAGCGACGTCCACGTACACAGGGGTGGTGTCACCTCGTCACGTGTCCAGGATTCACGCATCTCACGGCCGGAAGCCTGTGCCGTTTGACCACCTCGCCCGTCCCCACACCCTGAACCCCCGCCTCTGGCCACCGCGGGCCCGTTCTGTTTCCGTGAGTTCAGCGGATTTAGATTCCACATGTAGGTGACGTCATGCAGTGTTCGCCTAACTGTCTGACTCCGTTTGCTCGTCATCGTGCCCTCAAGGTCCATTCATGTTGCCGCAGACGGGTTTCTTCTGTTTTTTTAATGGCTGAGTATTACCGTGTGCGTGTGTGTGTGTGTGTGCACGCGCGTGTGTGTCGCGTGTACTTTACCCGTTCACTGACACGCCCACGTCCGGGCCAGGGTAATGACGCCGCAGCGGGCGTGGGGTGCCGAGGTCCCTTTGGGAGATAGTGATTCTTTTTTTTCGGGTAGACCCCGGACGCGGACTTGCCGGGTCACGAGGTAGTTCCACTTTCAGTTTTCCGAGGCCCCTCCATGCTGCGCTCCGTGGCGGCCGCACGTCGCCCCCTCCCGCCAGCCGTGCGCGCGTGGCCCCTTCTCGCCCCGTCCTCGCCAGCATGGCGTCTCTTGTCTTTTGACGGCAGACGTTCTGACGGGTGTGAGGTGACACGACACTGTGGTTTTCATTTGCATTTGATAGTGAGTGATGTTGAGCATCTTTTCACGTATCTGTTAGTCTGGTGGGACCTGTGGAGCTTTTGGGAAAATCTCTATTCCGTTTCTCTGCCCATTTTTTACTCGGATTGTTGTGTGTGTTTTTCTTTTGGGTTTTTTTTGGTTTTTTTTTTTTTTGCTATTGAACTGCATGAGTTCTTCATATATTTTGGATATTAACCCCTTTTCAGAGATACGATCTGCAAATACTTTCTTTTTTTTCGGGTAGAATCCTGTAGGTTCCGTTTTCCTGTTCTGGATGTTTTGTGCTTCTTCTTGTTGTCGGTTTTGCTGTGCGGAGCTTTTTAGTTGGATTTAGTTGCATGTGTGTATTTTTGCCCCTGTTGCCTTTGCTTCTGGCGTCAAATACGAAAAAAGTCGTCACCAAAGCTGATGATGAGGAGCTCACCGCCCGTGTTTCCTTCTGGCTTTATGATTTCGGGTCTCGCGTTCAAGTCTTGAATCCATGTGGAGTTAACTTTTGCGTGTGGGCGTGAGACAGTTTCGTTCGTTAGCTCGTGGCCGTCTGGTTTCCCAGCCCCGTTCATGGAAGCGGCTGTCCCTGCCCCGTCACATGGTCCTGGCGTCTTTGTTGTAAATCAATAGACCATGTACACACGTGATTATTTCTGGGCTCTCTGGTTGGTCCCACCGATCTCTGTTGGTTTTATGTCAATACGGTATGTTTCTGTTTTTATGTCAATACCGTACCGATCACTATAGTTTTGTAACATTGTTAACGTTGTCTGAAATGATGTTGTTATTATTCTATCCAAGTTCTGCTTGGAGCTGTTTACACTTTCTTTTTAGCGGTTGCTTGGAGGATTGCAACAAACGTCTTACTTAATCTACTTTACATAAAATGTAAGAAACTTGCAACTGTCTGATTCCGTCTCTGTTCCTGTCTTATGTAACGTTACCCTGTGTTTCTTCTACGTGTATTTTAAACCTCACAGTAAAATGTTCAAATGTTTGCTTCGAATAACCAGTTGTCTTAAAGAAATTAAGAGTATAACCAGTTGTCTTAAAGAAACACGTGTATATGTGGACTGTTAAATGTGTCCTCATATTTTTTATTTCCAGAATCTTCTGTTCTTTGCACAGACTCAGGTTTCCATCTAGTGGCATCTCCCTCCAAACCAAAGAACTTCCTTTAGAACTTTCTTTTTTTCTTATAAGCAACAGAATCTTCCAGCTTTTGTTTATCCGAACAGTCTTTCTTTGTCCATTATTGAACAATATTTTCTCTGAGTAGAATTCCGAGCTAAGCGATGGTTTTTCTTTCAGCGTTTCGTGAGTGTCGTTTCAACGTCTCCTGGCCTGGGATTTCTCCTTAGAACGTAGTTGTCGTCTGTCCTCGTCCCTTGTATGTTACAGATTTTTCCTCTGGCTGCTTTTTCCAGATCATCCCTCTCTCTTCATTCAGTCTTTTATCAGTTTGATTATCATGTGCCTGGATTTAGTTTTCTTTATATTTATCCCGCTTTGAGTTTGCTGATCCCGTCGAATATATAAGTTGGTGTTTTTCCCCAAATTTGGGAAATTATTGGCCTTTTATTTTTTCATGTATGTTTTTCCGCCTCGTTCTTGGACGTGTGTTATACGTCTCGATATTTTCCCATAGGTCAGTTGGGCATTTTTTTCTTTCTCTCAATGTTTTTTTTCTCTCTGTTCGCCAGATAGATCCATTTCTATCGATCCGTCTTCAAGTTCACTGGTAATTCTGCCATCTTCAATCTGCTGTTAAACCCAGTCAGTGAATTTTTCATTTCAAATAGTCGCAGTTTTCGGTTCTGGAGCATCCATTTGATTCTCTCTTATAGTTGTCATTTTTCTGCCGCGATTCCTCGTCTGTTCACTCATTACAACTACCCTTTCCTTTGAATTCTTGGACATAGTTATTATAACAGCCGGTTTAAATTTTTCATGTGTTAATTCCAACATCTGGGTCATCACAGGGTGAGTTTCTGTTGGCTTTTGTCCTCCTGAGTATGGACCACATTTTCCTATTTTTACCCAGGCCTAGTAACTTTTTTATTTTATGATGGACGTTGTGAAGGGTATGTTGCAGAGACACTAGATTCTGTTATCTTTCTTTAAAGAGTGCTGATCCCTGTTATATTGGGCAGTTAAATCACTGGCTGATGACCTTGGACTCGTGCCGGCTTGCTTTGTACTTCGCTAGGATGAGTGTATCTTGGGTGCGTCCCTTATTCCTGAGACATAGTCTGCCTTCCTAGACGTGTCCCTTCTGGGGTTCACACAGTACTGAGGTGTCCACCAGGCCCTCTAACTGGCTGGGACCCAAGTTCCAAACTGTCATGGTGGAGGATTCCCGCAGAAATTTCGGTTCTCTGCGCTCTGAATTGCTTCTTTGCACAGGCTCCTTGGGGTCTCCCCTGTGCCTGCACGTTTGGGAGTCAGCCATGGATTTTAAGCAGGGTTGTCATTGGCTTCCCAGGGTCTCCTGCTTCCATTTGCAGCCGCTCTAGGAGCCTTGAGCCCTGTCTTCGGACACCTTGAGCCAGGAAGGCTGCGTTGCAGCGGGCGGGAGAGGGGTGTCGGGGGGAAGCACCCTGTAAACGTGGATTTCACTCTGTGCGGTTTTTTTCTTTGAAGAGTCGCATCCGCTCTGGTTTGTCTGCCGCTGGCTGCTCGCCGGCCCTTTCCAGTCGTTGCTTTTTCCTGCTTCCTCAGAGTGTGCAGGTGTTACCTGGGTCAGGCTCTGCCCCGTCCGAGCCCAGACCAGGAGCCCCCACCCTGGCGTGCAGCTCTGAAGAGTCACCGAAAACCCATTTGACTCTGTGTAAAGGAGCTTGAAACTCTCGTTCTCACCGGCTGCGAATACGCACATCACCTTCGCGTTTCAAGCCCAGTTTACCCAGCGGCCGTTTATTTACCGCGTGGTCTGGGGACACCTGTGCTATTTATGGAAAGACCGTGTGTGGTAATGACGTAAATTATTAACAGGTTGCAAGTATGTAAGTTGTGTAATTTGACCAGTAGTGTAACTGATTTTGTGTCAAAGCTGCAACGTGGGCTTTGTCGTCCATGCTACGTGGCTCGTGACAGGTCTTAGAAGGCAGAGACGTTTGCAACACTGTTGCCATTAAGTTATCGTCATCGATGTCGGCGCCAGTAGCACTTACGGAGCTGGTGACACCGGCCTCAGTGCCGTCACTCAGGAAACGCACTGCTGGGTCCGCAAAGCAGCGTGAAAGCCCCACGTCCCACGAGCTGCAGCAGAGTCGTCAGGGTCCCCTCTGGGGGCAGCAGGTCTCAGAGTGGTGCCTTCCCGCCCCCGAGTCGCCCGACGCGTGCTCGGTCCTGGCTGTAACCGCAGGCCGGTGTCGCCGCCCCCCCGCCCCCCACGCGTGTGCGGGGGGCTGCGGAGCCCAGCGGGGTGACCGGGGTGACGGTGGCCTCCCCCTCGCCCCTCTCTCCCATCCCAGGCCTCATGCGCTCGCGGGTTCGGGGGGCCGACGCTGCTCAGGCCAAGGTCCTGACGTTCCTGGACAGCCACTGCGAGTGCAACGACCACTGGCTGGAGCCCCTGCTGGAGCGCGTGGCCGAGGTGAGGCGGGGCGGGGACCGTCCTGGGTGCAGGGCAGGGGGAGGGGACCGTGCCTCTGGAGCGGTGGTTCCCTGAGGAGGCCCCTCGCCTGGTCAGCAGGAGGCGGGGTCAGCCGCCGGGGAGACCCCTTGTTGGGAGGCTTCGCAAGGGCAGCTTCGCCACCAGCCCTCTGAGCCAGAGGGCCGCGGGCTTAGGACACTGCGCCTGGCGGGGGCAGGGATGCTGGGGGCCTCGCGCGACTCTGTGGGGACCGCTGCGGGGGAGGGGACACTGGGGCCACACGGCAGCCGACGAGGCTGTCGGGGTGGCCCGTGGCACATTTTGTGCACCTCCGTCTTCCGGAAGCGTCACCGCTGCCAGGACATCTGTCACTTCCCTGGCCCACTGCTCATTTAGTCGACTGTCTTTCCTGTCCGCTAAGAAAGCGCTTCCGTGCAGCGGTTAAGCCAGCTCAGTGCAAGTCCTGGGCAGATGCCACACGAGCAGGTCGTTTTCCGCGGCACGGGGTGTGGGAACCGTGTCCCCCGGCCTGCTCCTCTGGTGCTCCCGACGGGTTTCTGGCTCGTGCGGGCATTGAGACAGCTCAGGGGACCCTTAGCCGCCGGCACGGAGCAGCCTGTCCCCAACGCCAACCGTCCGAATTTAAACAGAGCGGCAGAGTCGAAAGGCCTCGTGTCACAGACTCTGAGCAGATCAGTGAGCGTGGCCTAGAGAGACAGCTCCGTCTCGGGGGGCAGCTTGTCACGGCCAAGACAGATGCAGAATCCGGAGCTGTCGGTCGATGAGTTCGCTTCTGCCGCGTGGCTCCGATTCTGTCCACGTCACACCCCATGCCGTAGAGACACGTCCCTCACTCGCCGTGTGGCATCCGAGGCCGTTCCTGGGCCCGCTCACGCCCGGCTGATCCGAGGACTCAGCCGAGCTCGGTCCCGTCGGAAGGAAGCCAGCGCGGCTGCCATTGTGACGTCTGGGAACGCAGAAGGGGCTGGGGACTCCTCGGTGTCATCCAGGCTGCAGCGGAGGGAGCAGGCTGCGCCGCCCGCGTGGTGGCAGAGAGCGGGCGTGGCCGCCGGCCGGGCTCGGGGACGGTCCCCGTGGCTCGTCCCCTAACGTCCCCCTCGTCTTCTCTCCTCTGCGCCCAGGACAGGACGCGGGTCGTGTCCCCGATCATCGACGTCATCAACATGGACAACTTCCAGTACGTGGGGGCGTCCGCGGACCTGAAAGGCGGTAGGTGCTCCCGCCGCCCGCTCGGCCCCCGGGCACCGCTCCCGCGGCGTCCCCGGGGGACAGCGACAGCTCTGTCACGGAGCCGGCCTGTGCTCCGAGTGGGGGGCACACACGCTCAGCAGGTCGAGCCTGCGGCTGGGAGCCCGGCTCCCCTCGGACAGCTCCGTGCTCCCTGGCCGCCTGCTCCTGCCGCCTCCCGTTGCTGCGTGGCACGTGGGGCTCACACGGCTCCGCCGTCTTTTTGAATCGGGGGATGTCTGCTCTCCCCACGTCAGACGTGGGGGACGGGACCCCAGAGCTGGCGGGAAGCGCGTGGTGGACGCCCCGAGCTTGGGCGTGGGGAGCGGAGGGCTGGACCAGCTCTGCCCCTCTTCACAGCCGCCCCTCCGGTGGCCCGAGCCTC